CATCAGTAGATTTTCCTAAATTTAGGCTTCGGTCCAAGTAGATCGTTCTTTAATGATAATTTGAAGACCTTTCAGTAAATTGTCTCTGTGCAGTAGATTCAATTTCACAAATCAAATTTTGGTAAACCTATCATGTTTAACATTAAAACTCCTTCAAAATCGTGGGTTAAGAACACAAATAACTTTTTTAGTTGTGGAGTAATCTCTATTCAAAGATATAATTTCCAAAAATCTAAAAAAAATCCAGGATTGCAGCCCATAAGGAACCAAGCACTTAAGGGCAAAATCCCAAAAGCCGTTTTCTTAGAGTAACAAAATAAGTATACTGAGAGAGAGAAGGATTAGTAATTTCCATTTAATTCCACTACCTTATTTGCTTATCCTTGACAGATACGCGTATTTCGTCTACAATGTGTAGACTTCTTCAGTGTCTTGTACTGATACTCGACTGAAGGAAAACATCGCATTTACCGAATATATATAAACACAAGTACATTTTCACTTAGAAACTAGGTACAGATTAGACGTGGAGCAGATCATCATTGACGTAGAAACAGCGATTACCAAGACACTTCCAACATCAACACAGAATACGGTTAATCACATCGAACATAATCAAGGACGGACAGGAACAAATTCGCTCCAACGAAAACAAAATTCGGATTGTAAAGGAGCTAAAAAGTAAAGCAGTATACTACGTGAAGGCAGACAAGGGAAACGCGGTCGTTATCATGGACAAGGACGATTACGACAATCAGATGACAACTAAGATTAACAACGGACCGTATAGATAGCTTCGAGTAGACCCCTTACAGAACATAGTGAAAAGCGTGGAGAAAGTACTGAAGGAGTGCAAATCGATATTGGGAGATAGAGCAGGTCGTTTACGGGAACCCAATCTCATTCTACCCAGGATCAAAGGTCTCCCCAAAGTCCACAAACCGGGAAATGAAATGCGAGAGATCGTGTCTGCAGTTGGTTCCCCCACCCACAAACTAGCGAAGTGGCTAGTCAAAGAGTTCCAGAGTATGCCGAATCAGTTTCAGAGTAAAGCAGTTAGTAACGCCCAGCAACTACAATCTTCTGGAGACATCAACGAAGACGATATTATGGTATCTTTCGACGTCACAGCTCTTTTTCCCAACGTACCGGTCAAGGAAGCGATCAACAATTTGAAGGACTGGCTATTAACACAACGAGAGGATGCAGCATGGAGAAACAAGGTTCGGACGTACCTTAAGCTGACCCACCTTTGTATGGAAGAGAACTACTTCTCTTTCCGAGGTAACTTCTACAAGCAGACGAAAGGAGCTCCAATGGGTATCCCCCTTCTTGTGTGAACTTTTCATGGCCAACTTGGAGACAATCCTGAAGGAGAAAGGACTATTACCAAACCGTTGGTGGAGGTTTGTTGACGATATCTTCAGCGTAGTTAAACGGGAAGCCCTTCCACACATTTTAGATGAGATCAACAGACTTCACAAGGATATCAAATTCACTCACGAGGTAGAAAAAGACGGTCATCATCTTCCTCGCTTGAATACGAAATTTACAGCAAACCAACAAGCACCAAAAGAGTTATCCCCTATACTTCGAACCATTCGTTCCATCAGAAAATGGCCGCCTTTCACCACATGATTCATCGAATGCAGACCCTTCCACTCAGCGATACAGGAAAGGTTAAGGAATTACAGTACATCTTCGAAACAGCAAGACTCAACGGATACAAGCATGCAAGCAAGCAAGCATGATTGACCGCCCACGGTTGCTGCTCTGTTATTACCAGATCAGCTGCAATTACACAGAGAACCAACAGATGATGTTTGGGACTAACATTCATCCTCAATGTGTAAGAACTGGTGATCTAATATTTTAGCAATACCAGCGCCGGCCGTATCCGAATGCAGGTCAACTAGGGAATGGGAAGGAATGTGTTGACGTGGTACTCGCTGTGAAGGCAGCACCTGAACCATTGAAACGAGTGTCCGTTCCATTTGATCAAGATATTACTTGTAAGCTAAGACCACAGTTAAAACAATTCGGATTAGATTTAGTTTTCACCAGTATACATAACCAGTTCAAATCATTGTTAGGATCCACTAAAGACCCAGTTAATGTTTTAGGTAAAGCAGGTGTATATAAAATAAGCTGTAATCATTGTAACAAAGTATATGTAGGACAAAGCAAGAGAACTTTAGCAACTAGATTTAAAGAACATATAGCGGAGGTTAATAAGGCCAAAAAGCAATTTTTGTCTTGATTCGCTATGAAAGTTTGACAGATAAAATGAGGGGTTATTGGTTTTCCCTATGTTTCGAGGGGTGAATCGATAAGCTTGGGACCGAAGAGAGTACCAGAGCTGAGCCAAAAAGTTGAGCACGTTATTTCGGGACTTTCTAGTCTTAGAGTTACCTCTATGGTATTAGTACAAGACACTGAAGAAGTCTGCACATTGTAGACGAAATACGCGTATCTGTCAAGGATAAGCAAATAAGGTAGTGGAATTAAATGGAAATTACTAATCCTTCTCTCTCTCATTATACAGGTATTCTACTAAGACGCCCACATTCATCAGGAAACAAAATAAGTATTTTAGCTAAGTTTGGTTGAATTCGGTAACATTGACCACAACTTTGTAGACACTTGAGCTGGATTAACCCAGGTGGTTTCAGAGAGGATGCAGGAACTTTTAAGAAGTTCTGAGAACATTAAGGATATCTAGAGAATTTGAAGAAAGTCCAGACAAGTTAACAGAAGTCCAGAGAACTTGAAGAAAACTGTGGGAAAAAGTTCCAAGATGTTCAGGAAGCTTACAGATCTTTAGGGCAGTTCCAATAATTTCAGGTAAGTTTTAAGAACTTAAGGAAGTCAAGATGTTTGCGATGATTTAAAGATCGGTAAGGGCGAGTTTAGATTTTCAGAAACTTCAGAAATATATCAGGAATTTACAAGGGAACTAAAGGGAAGTTTTAAGACAGTTTCATTAATTTCTGGGCAGGAGAATTGTGAGAACTTCAGGATAGCTTCAAAAACATCTGGGAACATTAAAAAATCACAGAGCAGTTCCATTAACTTCAAGTACATTGCAGGAATTGTTAAGTAGTTCCGAGCACCTCAAGCAATTTTCCAAATATTAAGCAAAGTTCCGAGAGCATCAGAAAATTATTGGACCATCAAGAGAATGCGGGATCAGTTAAAAAAAAAGATTGCAAAACAATGCAAGATTAGCAGAGAACTTCAAAGTAGTTCCATTAGTTTCAGATAACTGCAACAAGATTGATGATGTTCCGAGACCTTCAGAGTAGTTCAGACAACTCCCGAGAAGTTTAGAGGGATTGAGGGCAAATTGTATTAATTTTAAAAAATTATAGGGTACGTTGGAAAAAAAAAACCAGGTAACTTTAAAGCAGTTACATTAATTTAAAGAATTGACACAGGTACTTGCAAGAAGTTCCGAGAAACTATGGAAAATCACAATAATTTCAGAAATGGTCCGAAAACTGGAAAATGGCATGATCTTCAGGAAAGTGTCATAAATTTCAGGACAATTGCAGGAACGATAGGCAAGTTCCAAAAACTTCAGGGAAGTCTCGAGAAGTTCAGGGAAGTTTAGAGATTTTGAAGAATTAAAAAATTGAAGGTCAGATCTTTAGTGTAGTTACAATAACTTAACGGAATCTCTGTTTACATATCTTAAATATTAGTTCCTATAAATTGAAGGCAATTCCATGAATTTCAATAACATTTATATAGCTTCAGTGACAATCTTGGAACCGCGTAAATTATTTGGATTATTAATTTAAGGAAAATTAATCTTTGAGAAGTCCTATGAACTTTAAAACAATTAAGAATACTTCAGAAAAGATAAGGGAACTTCACACAAGTCCCGTGAACTTCAAAGGAGTTTTGAGAATTCCAGTAAAATTATGAGGGCTACTGAGAAGTTCCGAGAATTCCAGAAAAATAACGGGAACGTCAGAGAAAATTCATGAATAATGGTAAAATCGCAGAAGCTTAAGATAAGTTCCGACAACATTTAGTAAATTTTCAGTGGCGCCGGTAATGTAGTGGTAAGCGTGATTACCTTTCACCCGATCGGTATTTTCTGATGGATAAAATCTCTGATCATGCTTTTCTTCAGAAGGGAAGTAAAGCCTTTGGCCGCCGGTCCATGAGTTGATGGGTCGATAGGTAGGGTTCAGGGGTAGGAGCTGCTTTCCTGGCGTTGGTAGCATTGGTACTCAGTATGGAAAACAAGATCGACGGAAAACAAAATCTAGTAATTTTTTGAATCTTCTGGAACATACTTCAGGAAATTTCTTGGAAGTCTAGAGAACTGACAACTTGGTTCGAATTTTTTGGCTTGATGGTTTAATATTTTTGGCCAGCTAGAATAAGAAAATACCCCACTGTGCGCCGTCCGTTGTATACCTAGCGTAAGTTGGCCGTGAATCCAATTTAATGACGATAGAGTTACCCTTCTGTTCGCTTGCTTGGATGAGGAGGAAACTCCTCGCAGTTTCTTTTTATTACCAACTCCTCTCACCGTCTCTCACCCGACAATTAACCGCTTGGTGCTTGGCGTCCCAAAACTACGATGCTTGCTGGAGAAGTTGTTCTAAACCGGCTATTATGCACAACCAATCTTGCCTGGGTTGGCTACCTACATGAACAACACATGCACACGCGATCGGTTTGATACATAAAGAATTGAGCGGGTGTTCTCTTCGCTGCTTACTACTATTTGCTCAAAGCTCTCCTTCAGTTAAGTCGAGTCGATGTGGAGTGTGAATTGTTCACGGCGAAGGCTAAGGCCAATGGAAGAAACGGTGGCATCATAAATCGGTTGTTCGTCGTCGTCGTTGTCGGTGTGGTTGCACAATCGCAATCTCACACCGGAATGTGATGAATCGATGCAAATTGGAGGCGTGTGAGTTGCTATTTTCGACGCGACTATTTATAACTTAAGATTTCGGATAAAGTCAAACCAAAACGTCCACTTCAGATTTTGAACTTTGCTGTCTCAATATATTTTCACAGCTGACCTCTCCGCTACGAAACAATAAAGAATTTTGAACAACCAGATTCAGACCCAACAATTACCCTGAACGTACAATGTGTACAAATTTGATCCATCGAAAAAAGATACGTTCCAATACTACTGCTACATCTATACACATCGGTAGGAAGAAAAAAACTTGGCATTCTTACAAAAATTTCCCTTTTAATACAAAGAATACTTCCGATCCCATGGCGCAAACTCCCCCTTGGACGCGTCCAGAACCCATTCAGAACTGTATTCTATATTTGTTCTCCCCTCGGGTCAAACTACTTCCTCGCCGCTGACCTCCGGAGCCTCCACTACTCCCACCGCCGTTCTTGCCCCCGCTGCCGTCCGAGGCCGGTTTCGGTGGTAGTGAAGCCGTCGTCTGCTGCCCGATCGCCGAAGTGGCCGACGCCGTGACGGCCGCATGAAGAATACTGGCACTAGGCAACGTACTGCTGCTGGTCTTGTGCTGCTGCTGTTGTGGGGGCTTCGGAACGAGTTTGTTGAAAAATGGTGACTGAAGACCACCGGTTGGGGACTGCGGCGACGGAAGCGATGACTTGGCTGATTCCGTAGACGTAGACTGCTGATGGTGGATGAAACGCGGAGGAGTCCGGCCGTGGTGCAGGTGATTGTGATGGTGATAGACGAGGGAAGACGGTGGCTGCAGGGCCTGAGCCAAGGTCGAATGGATTGGACTGGACCTGGAGATGAGATTGGAGTTGTTGGAATTGTTGGACCCACTGGAGGCGGAGTTGAGCGAATCTCGGGAGCCCTTGACCGGGGTCGAGTTGAGCTTACGAACGTTTGGCAGTAAGGAACGCTTCATACCGACCGAGTCCAGTGAGCTCTTGCGAGATTGCGGACTTGGTTCCTCCAGTCGTTGGTAGTTTTTCGTGGACGTGTAGTCAGGTTTGGAAAATTCGCAACTATTGGCAGTGGAAGCGATCGATTTGGACCCAAAACCAAATTTGCAATCAGTTTTGCCCGGCGATGGTATCGAAGTGTTTCCCAGCGATCCATAGTTCTTGGACTTGAGCGTGCCGTAGTCCTTGGTCGCCGCCAGCTGAATGGAGTCCTTCATCTCCAGGTAACTTTTCCCCGGTGAAAACTCCCGCTTGTTGAACGCCCCACCGTTCATTCGTTTCAAGCTGGAAGCTTTCAGTTCGTATTCCTTCTGTGGATCCGAAATCGGAGGAGTCTCCGCTCGTTTCTTGCCCTCGGAATCGCTGAGTCGTCCGTATTCGATTTTGCGCGGTGGTTTTAAACTTCTCGGCGGTCTTGGCAGTGCACTCGGCGGTAGCGAAGATCCCCGATCCATTCGTGGCGGTAGGATGCCTCCGGCTTGCTGAGCGATGTTGGATAGAATTTTAGGAACCTGCGGGGTGGGATGAGTTTTTCGATGTGAATTTGGTTTCATCCGAACAGACTACAACAACTTACCTTATTCCCTCCTATGTTGCTTATGTCGGTCATATTTTGCCCAACCGTTTGAGTGACGTGAGCCAGATTGCTCAGCTGGTTGCTACGGAGCTTCTGCGAGCAACGGCCTTGCTTCTCCAGCAGCATCATATCTTCGGGTTTCGTTGCGTTTCCAGCACTGTTCGAGCCATTGCCGCCACCGCCTGCACCGTTGTTGGCACCACCGTTGGCACCACCACCGACGCCACCAGTTACGCTGTCCTGCTCGCGGCGATCTTGTCTCTCTCGATCTCGCTGATCGATGTGAGTAAGATTCTGCGAGTCGGGGGTTTTTAGATTATAAAATGGTCTACGTTGTGGTAAATGGCAAATGGTGTTACCTGCAGGAAGCTTTCGCTGTTGTTCGTCGATAGGACGGATACTTCATCCGAGAGCAGTGGTTGGATGGGTTTCTTCGTGGTCAAGCTTGGAAAGCAACATAGTCCTCGCTGTTATAAAAAGAGAAATGTATTATTCGTTACTATATGATTAACACTTACGCATTGAAAAGTTGAACATTTCAGCTAAGTTTAAGTCAGGATGTATTTTTACATTGAGATACTTACATTACTTTCTATTTCCTAGCATCATTTGGACAACTGGGCCATGTTAATGATTTAAAGCCACATATCACACAGGAAACAAAATAAAACATTTAAATTAAAGGGACATCACCTTTACTCACCTAAATCATGTCCCGAAAAGTTTGCTATTAGTTCACAATGCCTACAGCGTATGAAATAATTGTCCTTACGGCTGATGCGAATGTTTTTTAAGCACTGTTGATAGATACGTTTCTTACATCATGGCAGGCATATTGAGATTGGAGTAAAATAGGCATTTCCTATCGATGACACTCCGTTAGCCATTAATACCTTGCCATAAAGTTAATTCCGAATATGGATGTTAGCCACAATGGATGAAACAAGGAAGAGAAACAGACATAACCGTGCCCGCGTGCCCTCCACTAATACCACTTTTCGGTCGTGGAACTGTGCGGGAATTCGGGAAATCAACGAGAAACGTAGAAGTGCAGCAAACTTTGTAGAAGTTTTGCGAATTTCGTAGCATTTTGAGGAGCTGCGTAAAATTTCATATAAGTGTAAGGAATTTTGAAAAAGTTCAGGGAATTTTGTAGATGTTCTAAAACTAGTTCAATAAACTTATAAAAACTTCAGGGATCCTCGCTTCTGTTTAGGGAATTTCGTTGCAGTTTGTCACAGATCTTAATTCAAAAAAGCTCCACGAACTTTTTGGAAGTTTTGGGAACTACGTTAAATTTCAAGAAACTTTCCAGATGATCAAGAATATTTGTAGGTGACAGGTGTCTTTCAAGAAGTACAAATATGTGCAGAGATCTTCGTAGAGTTAAGAGAGATGGAAAAAATATGGGTTTGTAATAAATTCAGGAAAGTTATAGGATATCCTTTCTAGACAGCAGGAAGTATTCAAAAGATGTCCATATAGACGAAGATATTAGTAAAGGTCTCTGGATATTTTTCAAGACTTCAGATTGATCAAGTTCTGACGAGCTCCACTGTTAAAAAAATACAATGTTCCTTTATGGCTGTAGGTTATTCTTGAAGTACTCAAAAGTTTTCATCTAATTAAATCTGATGGAATCTTGAATGATTAATCTAGATTTTATGGACGTGTTTGTACATTTTATATAGGGAAGACCCGTGCATTGGTGATTTAGCTATACTGTCAAAACATATCACTCCAGCAGTTGAATTCCGGACATAGATTTCAACGAAGAGAAAATTGTACGCTTCAGAATTTTCCTCTTGAAAAGTGCTGTAAGTCTCAAAATCTTGGTAAGTTTCCCAAAATCTGAAATTACAAATTTTGAAGTCCAGGATATTCAAAGCTCATCTATGCCTATTATAGCAAACCATTGTTAGATCCCTAAAATTTATTTTGAACATGTATGTAGAGTTTTAATGAAAATTTCGATTAGTTCAAACATATTATAATTATTAAAAAAAATATTTCATTTTTTTTTAATAAATTTTGTACTAGAATTTTTATTAAACGACTGTCAAGGAAGGATTTTGCAATTTTATCTTTGTCTAATAATTAGAAAAAAATGATCTAATTTCGTTGACTTTAATTTACATTTGTCTTCGAAGAATTTATACTTATAAGCTGTATTAGAGGTATCTATTTTTTTAGTTACAAAATCTTGAAGACATATGGGTTTGGGATCTCAAAACTATATTTATTTTAACATTTAGAATATTCTACGTCCTTAATGTATGGAATTTATTCTGTGTGCATTTTACTATTGAAACACCAATGCCAGAATTTGATAAAATTTTAAAACTCAATCTCCTAGAATTGAATTTTGGTACCTATGTCTGAGCTTTAACTGATGATGAAATACTCAAAATAAAAAAAAACTAATGAAGTAATGAAATTGGGTTGTTAGCGGAATGCTTTAATAAAACAACAAAAAAAAAGGTTATCTTCCATTTAATTCCACTTAATTAATTTTGGTATTCATGACAGATACGTATTTCGACTACAATGTGCAGTCTTCATCAGTGTCATTCCCACTAAAGAACTTATCAAAATCTAACCCCCTTAAGTACTCATCCCCTAGGTATAAAAGTCAAGATCACAGGTATATAAATGAAACTACAATGTGTTGAATCGGAACCTACCTAACTAATTAAAACCAAAGATTTAAGTAAGCTAAAGGAGAAAAATCTATTCAACTCTCTAATAAGGAAAATCCCAAAGGCTTGGTAGCCATCATAATGAAGTAATGAAATTGGGTTGTTAGCGGAATGCTTTAATAAAACAGCAAAAAAAGGTTATCTTCCATTTAATTCCACTTAATTAATTTTGGTATTCATGACAGATACGTATTTCGACTACAGATACGATACGACAGATACGTATTTCGACTACAATGTGCAGTCTTCATCAGTGTCATTCCCACTAAAGAACTTATCAAAATCTAACCCCCTTAAGTACTCATCCCCAAGTTAATTATATACCTGTGATCTTGACTTTTATACCTAGGGGATGAGTACTTAAGGGGGTTAGATTTTGATAAGTTCTTTAGTGGGACTGACACATTGTAGTCGAAATACGTATCTGTCATGAATACCAAAATTAATTAAGTGGAATTAAATGGAAGATAACCTTTTTTTTGCTGTTTTAAAAAAAACTAGCTGAGAATTTTCTTAAATTTAAAAAAAAGCATGAACAAACGATCAGGCACATGCGAGGCACACTGAGAAAAAAAAATTGGCGCAAAATTAGTGTGTCCACCACCTCATCAACTCTTCACTCTTTACCGAAACACAGCATGGAACGAGGCATGGAACACTGTTTGGCACGTTAGGGTTATGTCAATTATAAAAGGTCTGGCCCAACCGGCTTATTGGTATTAGTGAAATGTGGAAATGTTAAGTGGTGTTTGTATTTCATCGCAATGTTCATCTTTTACACAAAACAGCTTTTTTCTGTGACGTCTGCTATTCGCAATATGGAATGTTGTGCTGCCGTGACATCGTCATTCGTTTAAGTTACGTCTGTTTGCCACTGACTGTCTGACTGCACTCAAAATAATCGACACGTTATTGTTACGTGAAAAATCACGTGGAATCTCTCTTTTATGTTTTATGTTAAATTTACGTGACACAAGTACAGTCTACGTGATACCCCATATGTATCAACGGGAAGTCCCTTGATATTCACTTCACTGATAAATTGAACTATTCCCATTTTGCTTGAAATTTAATCAATTTGACATTAAACTCTGATTAAAAATTAATCCTCTCTTTCTAAAAAAGAAGCATCTGATATTAATCCCAGTTTAATCATGGTTGATTAGATTGTAGATTATCTTTTTTTGAATAAATTTAATCATTTTTGCTTCTATTTTAATAATTTTTTATTGAATTTTAAGCTTTTTTGATTATATATCAGTATTGAAAAGAATAAAATTTAATACTGGAAAGATTATTTCGAATTTAATCATGCATGACTACTGCCGAAGTAATCATGGCTCGGACTCAATAAGGTGAAGCGGGAGACTGCATACTTTTTAAGCTTTTTTGATTTAATTTATCTTTGAGTGTAGGTTTTTTAAATGGATCGCACGTGATTTGCACATACACAAATTCTATGTGCATTTCACGTAAGCCCTAAATGATTTTCACATATGAGAAAATAAATGAGTGCCTTATTTATAATGGTGCACAATATGGTGGAACTGCAAGTTGCATTTTTACATGCCAGTTAAAATCTTGGGGCTTATTTTCTTGAGACAATTTCGTGTTGTAGGTATAATGGCTGAATGTTTTATCACAGACAAATTGCATGGTGAGAATAATTTGTAACATGTTTCTTTGTTTTAGTCTGACGACAAGGAGTACCATGGATTTAAATGCGACTAAATGCCCTTGTATCATATGTGTCCCATATCTTTCCCGAGTCCAGTTTTGCTCGAATTAATTTCTTCTTCTGTGTGTACATCTGCCACAATTAAGATACAATGGTCAAGAAATACTGTAGGATTTTTTTTTTTCACTTAAAATCAAGAAAAACATTTAATTTAAACTGGAATAAAAATCATTGAAAACCATCATGAATTCCATCGCAAGAATCACATAGCTTCTACGTGATAATCCCGTGACCATCTCGTTACTGAAATGAGTGCTTTCATATGAGAATCACGTAAAACTTACGTGAAAAGTGCGATGGAAAAAAAATATCTATGCATGTTTTCACGTAGCATTGACGTGAAAATTATTTTGAGTGTGTGTTGACGTTTTGGCATTCGTTGCCAAGGTTGACTATATACCTGAGCGGGATGTCCTATCAAATCGGCCTACTGAACAACCGTAAATGAGATGTAGATATTAGAGTCGATGTATAATGAGTCACGCCAAGAGTGAAGCCAAGTCTACCTATTGAACTTTAAAACCGGCTACCTATCGTGCAAAGTAAACAAACATTACGATGCTATGAAAGGTTCACGAAAGGTATTGCAATAACATATAAAATATAATCGAAGAAATGAGCATTAACACGCAGTGAGCGTTAAATTGTCATGGGATACGCTCGGTAATGATTAGTAATGAGAATTTCTACTATTTTTTGTTAAGATAATTTGACAAAATCACTGATATAATGATTTACTACAGCCGCAGTATATTTTCTCTCGCTAGAAGTCATTTGAAGTTGTTGTAGAAGTCCTCTGTTGCCAAGTGAAAAGAATGGGAATCTTTCGAAAACCGTGATGCGAGTTCAACTGTTTTTCTCTTGGCGTGACTCATTATACACCGACTCTAGTCTAGTCAAGTCTGAAACAATGTTGCATACCAGTTCGAATAGAATGGATAGAAACGTCAAAGTGATCCGTCAAAGTAATGATATGGCGGGAGATTCGCGAAACTAATAATATTTAAATTGATCGTTAAATGCGTGTACG